GGGGGGGAGAGGGGGCACGCCGAGATGCGACGGAATGAAAGCATACGATCCGGACAGATGAAAGCATTCCATTCGGGTGGAGCGCAAAACAATCACAAACGGAACAAAAACCAGCAGGAGGGGAAACACCGACGGAGAAAAAGGGGAAGGAATAATCCACATTCAACTGCTGTAGTTCCGCTTCCCACGCTATTTTTTTTTTTTAATATATGATAACTACGACTCCACAAGGGTCGCCGATGGCTTAAAAAAAAAAGGGGAGTTCAATAACTCCATTTAGGCCGACCTTGACACCGAATGTGAGAAGCTGCGGTTTCCCCCCCCTTTCGCCCCCTCCCTCCTCCCCCTTTCGCCCCCCATGTCCCCCATGTCCCCGATGCAGAATCTTGGCCATCACGGAGTCCAGTGAAGCCTATTCGGGCTTTACCGTTCCCATCCCCACGAGCGGAAATGCATACATTACCATCGTGATAAAAACGGAACTCCGCCCATTCGACGCGAATCTCTGGGACATCTAAGAGAGGCGAGAAAAAATACTCGATGCGTTGCAGAGAACACGGAACGGGAAGGCGCACGGGCCTTTCCGACGATTAAAAACGAGCACCGAAATCTGAAGTGACACGCACCGGATCCGTTTAAGCAGTAATCTGACCCCACAATGGTCCCCCTATGGGAATCAGATTAACAGAGATGAACTCATTCCCAGAGACGCCCGTTACGAAAACGAATCGGTTTAAAGGAATCCGGTGCGTGTCACCCCTGGATTGGAATCCTCCCACCGAGACGCCTTCGTCGACGATGCGATCTCGGCCGGGGGGCCGAGATCGACGGACAGACGGATCGGGACAAAGGGCACTCCGGGACAAAGGACATACCGGAGCCAGGAGATGAGAGGCAAAGGCCCGCTGGATCAGATTCATCAACGAACGACTCGCATGACGCGAGTCGAGGCACGACGCGAGTCGAGGTGCGACCGGAGTCGAGGCACGACGGGAGTCAAGGCGCGACGGGAGTCGAGGCACACGAGGCGTGAACCAGCGGACGGGCCCAGGCCGACTGGGGACGTGGGGGGCCCCGCACGGGGACGGAACCCCATTTGCAGGGCGGGGCGGGGCGGCCGCACGGCAGCTTCTTCGAGCCAGAAAACCGCAAGAAGGGAAAACCGAGAGCATAAATCGCCGATCTGTCAAAACGATGACTCCATAAACTATTTCACCGGCGGCAGCGAAAAATCAGATAAACCGACTCGAATCAGGACACCACATGCTTTTTTTTTTCCCGACTCCAAATACCGATCGGTACGAGTACCTGCCGAAGGTCGACGCACGGGATAATACGAGCATTTTCACCTTCGCAACCACGTGCATCACGTGTCCCGACATGTCATCACGTGTCCCGGATCGGCGACTTTTCGTGCAGTTTCCCTCGATCCCACCCTCCAGCCTCGTCCCCCTTCCGTTTAAAATCGTTTCCGCCGCGAGGGCTCGCATCATCCGGCAAACGAAACCACCGCAGAAAAAGCCCCCACCTGGCATCCCCCTCC